GCAGCCCGCCTGGCCGGGAGTGGAGGGCAGTGACCCCGGGACCTGGGGAGGAACAGGGACAGGGGGCCAGAGCAGCCCCCCTGGCAGTGGAGGGCGGTGACCCGGGACCTGGGGAACAGGGACAGGGGGCCAGAGCAGCCCCCCTGGCAGGAGTGGAGGGCGGTGAACAAGGTTGGTGATGAGGAAGGAGCCAAGTCTGGAGGATTCTGCTAGGAGCCCAGGGCTCAGGGGGCAGCAGCAGCGTGGCCACCAGAAGAGGGCAGCTGCAGTGCCGACATGGAGCTGATGTCCACAGTGGGTAGGACAGCGAGCAGAAGTTGTGCACTGGCCAGGAGAGCAACAGGACAGAGAGCACAGGACAGGCACACAAGCCACCGATGAGCTCTTCAGGGAGGAACACCAGTGGACAGGAAGCCAGAGAGATACTCGGGGGTCAAAAGAGTTGCAGCACAGCAACCGCCATGTTTAGCATCCCAGCCAAGGACGCCAGGTGGGGGCAGGGGACTGAGAAGAACAAGTATCACTTCCCAACAGGGCGAAGACCCCAGCTGACGCGGTCCAAGAGGAGGGGTCCCAGGGACTGTGACACTGTCTCTGGCAAAGAATGGACAGACAAACAGAAGTGAACAGGACTACGGAGCAGGGTTGCCAGCCCCACGGCTCTGCCCAGAGCACCTGGCCGGCCTGTGGGTGGGCAGGACTGCTGGGCACAGAGCAGGAACCGCCCTGAAGGAGAGGAGCCTATTACTCACGTGACGAAATTGAAAATAAAGTCTGAAGCCCGGTGTTGAAGCCACGCCCGTAACCTAGCAGCTCGGGAGGCCGAGGCAGGGGACGGCACGCCCACGGCCACTCCGCGCAATGGTGGAGTGCCTTGGGTCCAGTGCCCAGTGCGGCAAGTTCCCACCCAGGAGACCCCGCCCGCAGGCCCCGCGCCTGCTGGGCCCCAGGCCTGGTTACCTGCTCGACAGTCTGATGGTGAGCTTCTGGGCCAGGGCCTTACACAGGGACGTCTTCCCAGTTCCTGGAGGCCCTATAACAGCCAAGCAGACGCCTAAGCCAGCAGGGCACAAGTCGCTCATGACAACAGGGGTCAGCTACGCCAAGGGCACCCTGCTGCTGCAAACCTGCGTCCCCGATGAGGCCTGTGAGCAGCTCCACTGTGGAGGGCCGCCTCTGTGCCAGGCTGGTCCACGGGTGCCCTCCACACCCAGGCACACCCTTCTCAGGCCTCTGCTCCCTGTGCCAACAGCACCACTCTCTGCCCCAAACAAGCCCTCCCTCCAGAGGTCCATGTCTTCAGTGTCAGGCGACGTGAATGACACCGTGGCCAGGACCTGCTCTTCCCCTGGCCCCTGCACCACCCAGAGGAGCTCTGAGGGGGACAGGGAGACAGACAGAGTGCGGACAGGACCTGCTCTTCCCCTGGCCCCTGCACCACCCAGAGGAGCTCTGAGGGGGACGGGGAGACAGAGCGCGGGCAGCTCTGAAGGGGACGGGGAGACAGAGCGTGGCCAGGACCTGCTCTTCCCCTGTCCCCTGCACCACGCAGAGGAGCTCTGAGGGGGACGGAAACCAACCCAACCTTGTGGTGGAGGTCTGCCCACCTATCACAGTCTGTCATTGCCACAGAGCCCGCGAAGTGGCACCCGGCAGCAGGCCCACTAGTGCCCTGTTGGAGGTGCCTGCCAACTGGCCTCCCTGGCCCTTTAGGGCAGCATGGGTGTCCGCTGGTTAAGGGTGCTCAGAGGCTGTGGATGCCTCAAGGTCTTCACCGGCACAAGGAGGCTGAGCACTGAGCCTGCACCTCACCATGACATGGCCTCAGCCACTTTGTCCTCTTCTACCTAGGACGTCGGGAAGAAAACAAACTCCCGAGGCGTTCTCCTAAGACCTGACAAAATGTCTTACACACACGGCCTTTTAGTCTATGCCCACTACGTGCAGCTCCCAGAACACCGCTGAGAGAGACCAGGCAGCTCGTCCCAAGAGCTGCAGTCAGCTGGGGAAAAAGGGTCAATCATACGCCAAGGACGGAGTGGGGCTGGGGCTCAGTGGCAGAGCACTTACTTGCCTCGCACGTGTGAGGCACTGGGTTCAAAGTGCCACATAAAAATAGATAAACAGAGGTCTTCAAAACCCCACACACCAAGAACGGGAGCTGGAGCCACCAGACAAGGACAGGACAGGAGGTGGCTGGGGCTGGCTGGCCAGCAGGTGTGGACGTGGCTTACCGTGCAGCAGCACCACGCGGTTCCAGGTGATGAGGTTGCTGTCCACGTTCTTGTCTGAGAACAGCAAGGTCGTCGTCACGTAATCCAGGAGCTGGTGCGAGAGGGTGCAGATGAGGCTCCCCACAAACCGCTCCCAAGCAAGGGCTGGGAGAGCAGCCACCTGGCTGGACACCACTCCCAACATGCAGCAGCCATGTGGCTCTCCCGATAGGAGGAGCCACGAGGTAGGGTGGTCGTGGCTATACATGCTACCCACAAACACCCGCTGTCACTTAAAATGCCACAGAAAACAAGCTGTGCAGGGTCACCAGCCAACAGGCCTCCCTCCAGTGATGGGCAGGGCCCACAGGCATGTGCAGGGTCAGGTGAACCCTTAGCGTGCCCCTGGGAGACCACACGGGCCCTGGTCTGCGCCTGCCCCCCTCCAGCCACTTCCTTCCCCTCTCCTCCTCAGGGAGCTGCCTGGAGGCCAGCTCTGTGCTTTTAGGGCAGTGTTGGAGCAGGAGCCCCAGTGCCTCTCAAGCTGATGGCTCAGGGACTGCAGGTGGCAGGCGACTTACGTGCGACTTGACCTCCATGTCGTACACCAGGCTGTCCCAGAGCCCGTGGAACTCAGCTGTGAAACAGAAGCCAGCGGGAGTTAGGAAGACCACCCTGGCCTGTCGGGCTGGCCCAAGCCCGCGGCCCTCCAGGCCTTCTCCCAGGGCAGGCCAGGGTGCCAGCAGGCCAGGGCAGCGTCCACACTTTCCTTCAAAGCCCAACCTTTCTTGGGTTAAAGATCCAAAACAAGCGCCAGTCAGATGGCTTTTGCCAGGT